CATGAGCCCTTGATCATTTATAAATTATTATTTTGTCATATCTTGCCCGGCCAACGTCTCCCTTCACCCACTTTTCTGTTGTCATTTTTACTTTTTATGGGTAATTTGGGGATGGTTTACAGAGATCACAATTTGACATTCAGCAATTCATAAATATTTTGATTCAATTCTTCCATTCCTATTTCCTCTCTGCTTTCATCCCTCCTTCTTTCCTAACTCTCTGAATTTTGTCCTTCAGAGAATTTTGCCTTATTTGATCTTAAATGGTTGAGACCTGAAAGGTCTTGGGGGCCCTATCAGTCACTAATCAACCAGTAGGTTTATCCAGCCACCGATATGGTCTTGGTGCCTCTGGTAAACTTAGTGCTGAGAGTAAGATCCAAGTTAATTACTGGTTCAGTTAACTGTGTCTATATCCTGGTACATGTCTCTTAACATCTCACTTACCTCATCTGCAGAATGGAAGGAAATGATACTAACTGGTCAGGTCGTGTGGTTGTTGAGGAGATCTAATGAGAGAAAAAGCGCTAAGGATGAGACGATCAACAAATGTTACACTGTTGACTATTACCAACTTGTTGGATTTGTTTTAACTCGCCACCACAACATACATTCACATATAGGTGGGAAAAAGCCCATTATCTTGTTCCATTTTCCACGACTCTTTCAGGATTTTGTTGTGTCTCTGCAATTCTGAGGTAGACAACCTGATCCCCATACAGGACAGGAACTAGGGGCCTAATGAGGAGTGAGGATAAATGTAGGTGATCTGTGGCTGCTTTTATTTATTTATTTACTTTGGCTTTTGGTGGGCCATCCCAGTTATCTGACAAAGAGAATCCCATTTGTACATTCCTCGTTTGATTTTTTTTCCCTCCTGGGAGACTGTTCAGTGAACCCTGGGGACACGGTGATTAAAGCAGGCTTCTGCTCACCAAAAGGACGCTGTTCAAGCCACCAGAAGCTCCCTGGAAGCTAGGGGTGCCAGTCTGCTTCCACGGACTTATAGCCTAGGAGCTTGTGGGGCAATTCTACTGTGGTCACTAAGACTCAGAATCAACCAGAGAGCAGTGGGTTTGGATTTAGTATTGTTTGGTTTGGTTTTAGTTTTGGTTTAGTATTACACCATTGAGCAACTCTTTCCATGATTAAACATAAGCCAGACCATCATCACTCTCCATTCAGGTTTGCACCATACCTTACAAACATGGAGGTTTTTCAGTGGAAGTAGTGTTGTCAGTAGTGGGGGAAATGCCACATCCTCTGGTGCTAAAAGCAGGGAAGAAAGGCAAAGGGCAGGTTCTCTGGGTGTAACTTATACCTTTATACTTGGAAGAGGGGTTCCCCAGTGACACAAATGGTTAAGAACTGACTCACTGCGGTAGTCAGTGTAAATGGGGTGGAGTCTAGCCTGTCAATCGGGTCACAGCTTGAATCTTCCTTGTGGACGTGGCTTTCTCATGAGAATTCTGGAAACTTCCTCTCTTCTTCCCTGGAGGCGGGACACACTCTCTCTCTGCTATACATTCCTGTTGACAAGCCACATGCTGATGGCAGCCAGAGCCCTGGATAAGCTTCCACCGCCATTGTATCCACAAGAGTTTTCACCCACTGGCCTGTGATCTTCCTGCACTCAGCATCATTGTATGTGCTGCATGAGTTTAAAGAGGAATTTATGGTCTAGTATCAGACATATGGGTCAATTTTGGACTTAGGGACTTGATCTGGACTGGGCTGAGATGTTTTCTCACCATACAATTGGTCTTTTATATAAAGCTCTCTCTTACAACCCTATTTTAATTGTGGGGATCCAGACCAATCAAGTATATATGGATTTCAGCTTCAGGTTTAAATTGTTGGATAAAAGGAATCCTGGCATGTTCCAAATCCAGCTGAATTGTCTCTGGGCTTCTAAGAGCTAAAGACGCGAAGCACACACATTCACCGCGAGGAAAAACGTCATGGGATTGTTTAGGCTTTTTAGGAAAAAGTATTCTATACATATTATCAATATTACCTACCAAGAATGTAAAAATAATAGCCACCAACAAAAAAACACCCCCAAACCAAACTCATGGTGAGCACTTTCAAAACACGTTTCTTTGTCAGACTTCCAGACTTCCTGACGGTCACAGAATGAGTCGCACACATGAGTGCATGCAAACATCTGAACAGGGGATGAACTGACCGGGGTCAGCAGCCTGCCGATGAAATTGCACTGTCCACAGTTCTTCCAGAAGTTGCCTTTGGGGGAAGCTGGTAAAGGGCATAGGAGAACTCTGGGACAACTACATGGCGTCACAAATAAAAGCATTTAACATAAACGGTTTCACTCCCTCTGCTTCCCACCTACCTCTGCGAGGTTCTGGCACAAACAGAAGGGACAAAATGCAGAGATAAACAGGATGAGCATCTCCCAACATCATCAGGATAAAGTGATTTTGCTGATGACCCTGAACGGTTGACCTTTACTGGTCAGAACTGGAGGTACAATCATTCTTGTTGGCTTTTTTCCCTATGAATAGTGTGTCAATCAAGGTTCTTATTCAGGAACAGAAAGAGAAATTTTCCAGTTTCCAAACCTTTGGGATTTTGAGCACTCAGTCACAAATGAAGAAGAGAAAAATCTTAATTTAGAGGGCAGTGTCCAAAGCAGTTCATTTTCTCTCAGGAGGGGAGAGACCCCTGCCCCCCCAACCCCCAGATTCCTGCTGCTCTCTGTCCATTGGCTGTAGGCCCACCAGTCCTCAACTCGCCCTATCTCCCCTTGCCCTTGAATGAAACAACAGGGGCCAAGGCTCCAGCCACCCATCCATTCATCATGTCATGTGCTGCCCCTCCCCCTGAAGCCTAGCACCCAACATAGTACCCTGTTTCCCCGAAAATAAGATAGTGTCTGATATTAATTTTTGCTCCCAAAGATGCGCTAGTTCTTATTTTCAGGGGATGTCTTATTTTTTCATGCAGAAGAATATGGTATACATTTATTGTTGAACAAAAAAAGGAAACTTATTACCTGTATACAGTACAGTAGTAGTTGTCATCACAAACCAGCATAACCAGACAAACTGTGAATCCTACAGTATCGAGAATTTCTTGTTACTACCATTATTTCCATGTACAACAATCTATGGTACATTTACTCATTTATTCAATGACAGTCATGTCATCATCTTCTGGAACATCATCATAACAATCCAAACCCTTATTTTGGGGGGGATGCCTTATATTTCAGCGAGAGGCAAAACTGTAAGTAGGTCTTATTTTCGGGGATGTCTTACTTTCGGGGAAACAGGGTAGCTTTGCCAGGCTTTGGGCCAAGTGGCTTATGTTCTTCAGAAGCGATGTGTCTGCCCCTTGCACCAGCTGGCCCCCAGACAGAGCACACTGCGGTTGTCCAGCCTGAGGTCATGATTAGCAGTGAGGGAAGGCCATCCGGGACGTCACAGCCGCATGCTGTACTCACCAAGCACTGACAACACGAGACTGAAGCAGAGCCACTCTCCTTGCCCCCGAGAGCCACGTGTTAAACCCAGAGTCAGGACTTTCCCTTACTCGCATAGAAGGGAAAGAAAAGCAAAGTTACATAACCCCTCAGAGGGAGACAGATGCCACAAGGGATTCAAAGTTTAAGGGATTCAAAGTGTGAACCTGTGTTCTCTCTGTCCTCCCAGCCCAACCAAAATAGAATCCCAGACGACTGACGTTCCTTTTCTCCCCGTTCATCCTGACTGGTTTCCTCAGTTACACGAAGCTTCCTTTTCGGTAGTTTGAGAATCAGTTCTTCATTGTGTGGTGAGAGCCTTGGGTGGCTTAACGTGAGCCCTGTTTACTTGAGGCTCCAATGAGATTCCCGAAAGAAAATGAAAGATAGGCCCTGGGGAGGAGTGTGCTGGCAGTGGGGAGCCAGCCACAGAAGGGCCCCTCTTCCAAAGAATGTACATCAGTGTTGGGGGGAGTCTTTTTGAGGCAACTCACGATGACAAGTCACTTCATTGCCTGTTTATTATGTTACCCTCTTATGATATTACCCATTCACGATGTAATATGTTTGCAGTATACCTTTCGAGAGATCCGTAAGCCCCATTATATACTCCCCTTGGGAAATATATTCGCTCTCTTGGTCCCAACGTAGGGACAAGGAGACCCTGTGCCCCACTGTCGATCCGCCTGTCTCTATTATTTTCCACAATCACGAAGTAGTCACTCCCCAGGACCCATTCGAGTGTTGGGGACCTGTACCCCGACAGAGATCCACTTGCCTAAGGAAACCAAGCCTGTTCTTCCCCAACCTGACCGCTTCACTAGACAGCACAGACGTGGCATGGGGCTGGGGGCATGGCAGGAGGAGAGGTAGCTCGTGGACAACCATATGGGCACGTTGTGCCCAAGCAGAAGGAGCCCTGGTAGTGTTGTGGGTTATGCATTGGACTGCTAACTGCACAGTCAGCAGTTCAAAAACATGAGCGGCTCTGCGGGAGAAAGATGAGGCTGTCTACTCCTGTCAAGAGTCCCAGGTCAAGAAACCCACAAGGGCAGGCCTTCCTGT